TCTTTATTGACATTTTGGTGTACTTATCACCAAAATATTCTCACTATTAATACCTTAATTTTTAAGATTAAATCGTTGGTTTGTAATAAAAGGCTCCTTACATTACTTAATAACAAAAAAATTTTAATTTTTAACAATTAGTGTGTTATTAGTACCGTATTACTATATGGGATATAGAGCCCAAAAGTGTTAACCTATACTTTATAATGTACAGTACCTACAGTATTAACTTTGACTTATGGTCTAACAAATGATATTATTACTGTATTAGTACTCTACTATTTATTAAAGGTGTTTTGCAATGTAAGGAGTAATGAGTGTTATGAATTTACATAACAATGTTTGTCATGATATTTGTTATGTTTGAAATGTCATAAGATTTTAATACTCATTAAATTATGATAATAATAACATTAAATTATGTTTTTTTGAAAGCTCAAAATAAATATCAAAATAAATTAAATTCTGTATTTACTATTTATTAAAGTCCTTTTGTAATTCATGTGATTTTTTAAATAAATTAAATAACAAATTATTTATTTATTAAAATATATTAAATTTCTACTTAGACGTTTAACATAATTATAATTCTTATATCTCTTATTATTTTCACGGTCTTTAGGATTTAATATTTGAGAATCATATGAATTATTATGAACTATTATTTTGGTTTATTTCAGTAAATAAGACCACAAATGACACAATTAGACCCAGAATATAGGGACCCAAAGCTACTTTGGTTTCATCCAATTGCATACGATCTTCATTATGAACAGATGGTACTTGATAGCCATCGTGGACAAATATGGAGTAAGCAAACACAGCAGCCTGCTCCTTCCATTTGTCCCATAGACCTGTCTCCAATACATCTTTAATTCTAGATAATAATCATTTTTAATTTTATATCAAATAATTAGCATTTGAATGGACTCACAAATTGGCGTATATTCTCATGAGATATGGATCGCAATGTTTATGGACAGCAAAGCCAAACGCTTTGTCAAAGTATTTATTGTCTGAGACGTGAAGTGTTTGGCTATAAAGCGATGGATTGATTGTCATCACAATCTCGATGTCGAAGAATGATGAGACCAATACATGGGTCTTATTGTCGCGAATGGTTACCATTAATGGGTCTAAATCATGGTAGAAGTCTCTGTGTGTTTCATCAATGTAATTGGTCTCATTTTTAGTCATCGCTTTATTTAGGACTCGACTCTCCATAGAATTAGCTTGTTTCTAATTATACAAATAATGAGTTTATATAAATAGTATACATTTTATACAGTATAATACTCTAGAGTAATTTCTATTTTGTTTTCATTGAATTTTGCAAATTATTAATTTATATTATTTTAGGATTACAATCAAACTTTAGACTCACTTGAATGGAGTGGATGTCAGTTGTCTTAAGGAATAGCCGGGGCTGTAATGCCTGTCTTTGGTCCAACTGATCCAATGAATCGATGACTTCAAATGGATTGTCAATAGTAGTCGAGAGAACCATTTGATTGAAATGTGTTATGATTTGAAAGTTTGCCATTAATAGTACTGCTATTACTAATAAATATCTTTTTGTTTTAGTTTTATATTTGATCGCTTTTCGGTATTTTGGAGGCAAAAAATAAATAAAATATTAACAATTAATTTATATATTTGAACAATATATATATACATTGCATAAATAGTGTGTTAAATGCCGTCCAAAATTGGTCACAAATAATAATTTTAAGTGAATAATTACTTCTGTGGAAATATAATTAATAATATAATTAATAATATATTATATTAATTATAATAATTTGTGAATTTTAAAACTATTACCCATTAGTGAGATATAAATCCATTTTCTCATAAATGGCTTCTAATGACAAATATAATGCACTCAATATATAACTCAGTGTAAGATATAACCAAAACTAAATAACGTATAATTATAATTTAGGAATTAAATAGTTTATAATTAAATACATTTTATACATATTTATCAAAAATCTTCAAAACTCCAAAAAATGATTTGCTTTTAGGACGGGGGTATATGCCCGACATTATAGCCAGGGACGGGTAGTTCCAACCACCATAGATATTAGCAAATGATTGTATCATATCATCTATTTGATAAAAGTCCAAGCTTACATCTACTTCCTATATAAAAGTTATAAATTAAATTATTAATACTTTAAATGAACTAACAATTATTATTGATACCCTATTGTAGATGTAATGAAGGTATGGTTCAGCCACTGAATTATATCCATCTAAACGTAAATAACGATCCGGTTCTATAGGCACTGGTATAGCACTGGCCAAATAACATATATCAATCAAATATTAGTCTAGTCTTAAAACTACTTGTACCACATAAGTAGACAATATTTTACCCGTATTTTGTCCGTCGGACTAACTCTCGGACCAAAAATAAATGTGTAGAACAGAGCACTTGGTCTCCGGTTGTCAACTGTTTTGAGTTTTCAAAAATATATTTATAATTAATTTAAAAACAATTAACAATAGAAACTAAATGACAAACCATTCCCATGAAGGCAAAAGTGAAATTGCCTTTTGGTGTGAAATTAAAGCCAAAATATTGAGGGTCTCTAAGTTGTGGGATCTCGAAGTCACACTCAAAATTAGCTTTCATTGGGATTTCCATTATATATTATTATATAATTAATAATTGAATAATTTTAATTTATTTGTAAATAGCAAAAATAGTTCATTGTTATAAATATAAATCTTTAAATTATTATTCTTATCATAACCATAATGTATTTTACTCTATTAAAATGCACTATTTAGGGTTGGTTTTAATTGCGTTCATTAATTGGACTTTTACGAACAGTAAACAAGTTAAGTGTATAACAATTATAACAATTATTTTATAAGTATTTTTCTCTGTTATATTAAATACTCTCCATTGCGTAACAGCACTTAGATAATTAGGCAATTATAATTTTAAACGTTTATATAAATCAGTAATTATTTTCAGATAATTAATGACATTCAAATAAGGATCTGCCTTCAAATAATGATATATTATTAGGTTAATTATAAAAGTTTATTAAATAAGTATAAATATATTTTATAATTCTCTAAGCTAAACAATTCTTTCAATTAGATAATAAAAATACAATTTGTTAGTGCGTTCAGATAAAGTCAATAAATACTGCTATAATGTTATGTGTTTAAAATATCCAGATAAATTTTAATTATAAATAATATACATGTGTAAAATAGACATTTGGTGTAAGATCAATGTCAAAATACTGTGAGTCTCGGAGCTGTGAGATATGAAAATCACACTCAAAGTTGGTTTTCTTAGGGATATCCATTATTTTATTTTATAGTTTGGATAAAATTCAATGATTTAACGCTACAATAATGTTTTCATTTTTCAATCATACTTAACAATATTATTGTAAGGTTATTTAATTAATTTTAATTACTGGTATTATAATCGAAATGCACTAATTGAGTACAAAAAGTGCAAATTTGCTCTAAAAAAGGTACAAATATTAAGTTTGCCCTGACACTATTGAGTTAATTAGTGAGCATTTTAAATAAAGCAATATACTGTATTTATTATATAATAATGCTTTTATAAATAGCTTATTATCATGAGTTAAATAAAGTTACATAATAATAATAGCAATTATATGCAAATTAGTGCATAACTAATGATATTCGGTATAATGAAAGACATTTTAAAATTAATTAACAGAAATGGTTATTATCAATATAAACCTGATAAATATGAAATGTTCATGTAATAACATTAAAATATTTATTTAAACGATAACTCAATTATTTTAAGTAAATAGGCAGCCATTGCAGCGGTCAACTGTAATTTAAATATTTAAAATACGTATGTTAATTTACAATGTTTTAGGTTTTAGTTATCATATATATGCATATATTTGTACCTGATAAAAGCGAAAATATGTAATCAAAAACAGTGGTCCAAAATAAAAGCCAATAGTTTTGTGACCAACTTTTTCCGTGAATGATATCAACTATATTTTGTCAGATTATAATGTTAATCATTTTACTGTATTTATTAAATAAATCAGTAGCAATATTTTACCTTGAACCTAACCAATAATGACAAATGATTTTTGAATTTAGCTGAATTCAACCACAGCTTAAATAAAATCTTATACGTTATGAAAGCCTCGCCACTAATACGCGATGCGATCGCCAAATAAAAAGTCATAAAAATGAAAACCAATAGAAATATATAGAAAAACAACATTTTGAGTATAAAATTGACTGAACAATACAACACTAGGAATAGCATTGCGTTCATAAAAGCAATGAAAAATCCAATGAAAAACAGTGAATATTTAGCCCAATATATGTCATTATATTCTTGCAATTCTTTATGAATTCTTGTCAAACAATTAATGGTATCTAAAATGAATTTATTTTTCAAACTCGTGTTATTCATGCGAGAGATGTCTTCAATGCAATCGTTTTGTACTTTTAGCTTAAGCTTCAAATAAACGCATAAAATGTAGAAATAAGTGATATTCCAGTGAAGGAATGTAAACCCGTAGAGAGAGCTGAGGCCATACATGAGACTCCATGGGAGGCCGTACAACAGAAACTGGTATATATTCATATTCATAGCAATGGGCACAATCACTATGATCCAGGCAAACAGGAACAGTACCAGTGGATTGATTTCAGATAATTTTGACCAAATTCTGTACCTTTTGATGAGTTTCTCGATGTGTTGAGTGTTTGTGAGACCAATGCTTTTGGGCGACAGATTGCCGGCAAACACGTGAAATGGTTTCATAAATGTTAGTCCAATACCCCGGTAATAGAGCCATAGATTTAGCAATTGGGTGCTAATTGCCAGACAATAGTACATTAAAACACCGAAATTGAATTGTCTCTGAACATTTAGAAAGTAGGAATAATCGGCTAAATATATGAACAGGTCCAGTCTTTTCGTTGGTATTGATATGGCGTAAAGACTTCGCACTGAATTCACCACAAACTGAATTAGTATTAGCCATGGATTGTAGAATATATGCCGTTTATGATCACCAAATTTATATAGCGAAATGCCCCTGGTATATAAATGTTGACCAGCTGTTTTGATCAGCATTGACTCTGGTACTTTATTTTTTTGGTCATTCAAATAATTATCATTATGCATTTTCTTAAGATTCCTATATGTACACTCTACATTGTACAGTATGAATAAATAAAATTGTAAGATAAATAAACTTTTGTTAAGTCATAATTACAACCTTTGATTTGTACAGTCTTTGTTTAAGTTGATGTCATTTACATTATGTTTGTTTGCAAATAAAACATTTTGAGTAATTACACTGATTTTGAAATTGAGAGCATTGTATTGATATTTGTTTATTACTAATACAGTATTATTGAGAAATCAAAGCATTCATTATACTTTATAATATAAAGAACACTGTCATAATACAATACAAAATTTGCTAAGCTGGCACTCGGGATTTTTTGATTGGATATGAACGTCCATTCAATGCTGAGTCAGAATATGTAATTTATATTGTCCTGTGAC